TCCAATATTTTGGATAAACCGTTGGAATCTCTGTTTGGATATATCACTGTGCTGCCCGGTGCATTGAGTGCTTACCGATACCATGCACTGCAGAATGATTCCACCGGTCATGGCCCTCTTAGTCAATATTTCAAGGGAGAGATGTTGCACGGGAAGAATGCTGATGTCTTCACGGCTAACATGTACCTTGCGGAAGATCGTATTCTCTGCTGGGAGTTGGTTGCTAAAAGGGACGAGCAATGGCTATTGAAATTCGTCAAGAGCGCTGTTGGTGAAACCGATGTTCCAGGTAAGTTTTTCAAATCGAGCAGCATTGACTAGAGCATTTAACTAATGAACTGTGTCAGATTCTGTACCTGAGTTTATCTCTCAGCGTCGGCGATGGCTTAATGGTGCCTTTTTCGCTGCTGTTTATTCTCTGATTCATTTCAGACAAGTTTGGAAAACAGACCACACAGTTGCTCGAAAGATATTGCTGCATATTGAATTTATTTATCAATTCGTCAGCTTGGTCTTTACATTTTTCTCTCTTGTAAGTTAAACTAACCATTAAATTCAGTTTCTGAACCCTGCAGAATGCTAACAGGTTGTTCCATCTATTAGGCCAACTTCTATATCACCTTCTACTTCGTTGCATTAGCTGTTGCGGACCCAAAGATAGACCCGTTCGGACATGGAATAGCCAACATCATTTTCATCATCTTGAGATATGCCTGTGTCTTGCTTATCTGTCTGCAATTTATCCTTTCCATGGGTAATCGACCCCAGGGGTAAGTCAATCAACGCTTCACTCCATCGAATTGGGAATATACTTACTTTCATCAATAGTGCAAGGAAAATGTTCTTGAGTGGAATGATCGTATACAGTATAATCATGGTATACACTACCTTTGCTGGTTTATACGTCGTTATTCGTCAATTCACTGCAAAGGAGAACAAAAGCAAGTTGACTCTGGGACAAAACGTATTCACTAACGTGATTGTATCGACCCTGTCAACCATTGGTCTATACTTCGTCATGTCATTCATCTACCTTGACCCTTGGCACATGTTTACATCATCTGCCCAGTACTTTGCCCTTTTGCCGAGCTACATCTGTACGCTTCAGGTCTATGCCTTCTGCAACACTCACGATGTTACCTGGGGTACAAAGGGAGACAACGTCTTACACACTGACCTTGGTGCGGCACGTATCACGGGCTCCTCAACGGTCGAGCTTGAAATGCCCTCTGAGCAACTCGACATCGACAGCGGATATGACGAGGCATTGCGCAATCTTCGAGACAGACTCGAGGTCGAGAAACCAGGCTTATCCGAGTCCCAGATGCAGGAAGATTACTACCGTGCTGTCCGAACGTACATGGTTTCTGTATGGCTGATTGCCAACGCCATTCTAGGCATGGCCGTGACAGAGTCGTACAGCAGCAAGCACATTGGAAGTAACGGTTACCTGGCCTTTGTGCTCTGGAGTGTTGCTGGTCTGGCTGTGTTCCGTGGCATCGGTTCTACAGCCTTTGCAATACTCAACCTCGTCCAGATGATTGCTGAGGGCAAGATGAAATTCAGCGCTGGAAAGTTCTCTATTGGTAGTAGTTCAGGAAGCACAAGCGCTCCCAGTTCGATTGGAAAGAGGATTCCACACAGGAGTATTAAGCATAAAGTTACTGACTTCTTTACCGAAACTGGCTGGACTATTCAGCGGCACTTCAACAAGGTAGCCTACAAGGCAGCCTTTTGGAAGAGATGAGAACCGTCTATTTTGATCTTGCCTGACTCCATTATTATTCCAACTGTTCAAAAAAGAGGGGTGTGTTTGGGAGATGTCTTTTTTTTATTATTTTCTTATTTCTTGATTGTTTTTTCCTTTTGTGCATGTTGAATCTTGATGGGAAGTATACATACCCAAATGTGTGGCAGTGGTGTTTATTGGATGTGTTTTATGTATAATTTATGTTTTGTGAATGCTTTTTATGATAATGAGGAATTTATCACATTAATGATTTGTTCTATTTCTTTGAATTTGAAGTAAACAAAAATTCAACTATGTGCAAGATGTATCAACCAACGCTGATCTATAGCTAAGCGACAGCAAATAGGGGACATCGACCAACCACCCATACGCTCAGTATATTAGTAAAGCATCACCTACATGCTATCCTCTCTCCACTTACTTCTGGTCTTATCCCAGGCCGCCTTCTCCTCCTGGCCGTGTAACTCATCCATACCTACTCCCAGGCCACGCTCAACCCACTGCTTACTTTCCATCTCAGCCAAGCGGGACAAAGCTCGAGCGAATGCAAAGCGTTCTTCGTCCCCACTGAATATCGAGCTTGCCTTGAGCTGATCCATGGTAAGACCTAGATCGTCCATGAGATTGCGCATGTCGGCTTGTAGTTCGTCGTTAGATGAGGTATCACCGTCCTTGGAAGAGGCTTGTTTAATATCATCTTCGGACAGAAAAAGATTTCGTAGCGGTACCGCAGATGTGAGGACCAGCTTTGCCTATTACGAAATTAGTATGGGCTCATAGCATGTTTCTACATATAGGAAGGAAAGAAAAAGCTTACCCTGCTCTCGTAAACTGCGTCGATGAAAGTGATGAATCGTCTCGCTAGATCTCGTTGATGCAGACCCATGGCAGGAACATCAGTGATAATGAAGGAGTTGTAATGGTTCATAAGCTCAATGTAATCCGCCGCACTGGTGGCACGGCCTATGATCTCGTTAAATGCGAACCGAGCTGCTTTTCCCGATGCTTGCGGAACATGTACGGCTCTGCCCCAAACTTCATGCACGGCGGGATGAGGAGGGTCGTTCTCAAAGTCACCTAGGTACCGGAACCATTTATCCGCATGGTGCTCGGCAGCTATATCCATCGGATTATGATAGACACCTGACGGCGGACGAGGGATTTTGCGATAATCCGTTGACGAGTTTAGGTTTATTACCGTCAGCGCTGTCTTGAGCAGGTGAATGCAGGGTATGAACGATTCACGCTGTATTCCGTTCTTGTATAGATCGTCAGGGTGTCTGTTGGAAGTAGTCACCAGCACCACGCCATGGGACATGAGAGATTCAAGTAGACGCCGCAGAATCATAGCATCAGCTACGTCTGTGCATTGGAATTCGTCGAAACAAAGCACGCTGGACTTCTCAGCTACATCTGCCGCCACGAACGGGACGCCGTCGATGTCTGCGCCCTGTTGGGATTTGACGGCGAATAACCGCTTGTGAACATCTTGCATGAAATTGTGGAAGTGGATTCTTGTCTTTGAGGTGATTGAGGGAGGGAGCGTGTCGTAAAATAGATCCATGAGCATTGTCTTGCCACATCCTACGTCTCCATGCATGTATAGGCCCTTGGGCATGTTGGCGGGTATTTTGGTTGTCTCGGCTGGTTTGGGGGCGTTGTTGAATAGCATGCCGAAGAAGGAAGATTTGGGCGGTTGTGGGTTAAGTGATTCTAGGGTTGGGTGAATGACGGTGGGCGCTTTGTAGTTGCATAGCATGTCATGAAGGTCTTGTAGGTGTTGTATTATTGCTGGCGCGGGAACAAGTTAGTATTGTAAGTTGCAATTGAACTGAAGGGATAAAATAAAAGCTGCCTACCTCTCTGATGGTCGTCGTCTCTCAAGAGGCCTGCCTCGACTCGACTTTCATATTCTTGCAGTGGCCCATGGGTAGCATCGACCTTCTTTTCTTTCTCGCCCACAGCTGCGGCCGTTGACATCCCCATCTTCATGCTCCGTCCCGCACCCCACTGCCCTTCAACGTGCCCCCTCTTCAGCCGGGTTACATGCTGAAGAGCCCTCGCATTGCCGTTCCCACTCGAACATATCAGGGATGCAGATGAGCTACCATAGTTACGAACTGCTCTGTTCAAACACGATGCGCAAATGGTGTGTCTCGGGGTTCGCGCAGCCAGTCGCATGGTAGATAACGGCCGAATCACAGGCGTCATGTTTGTCTGGGCGCCACCGTAACGCCTTTCAATGCTTTCTATATATCTAACAAGGTCGTAATATCACGAACTCCGGCTTCGAGCCATGTAGTTTGCTGTGCTGCTGTATATAGATCGAGACGATAGAACGGCCGTCGGACATCGGATGGTGAAGGTTCGGGTAACTAGCGGAGAGGAAAAGAAACAAAATCAAATCAAGCTGCAGACATAGCTCTCTAGCAAACGAGCGGTCTATTCTAGTGTCATCAGCGAAAGAGTCAAGCTGTGTGTCTATAAGTTGCGAGTTGATGGTTGTTTCTTCGTCTTTTGGCCGGTAAAAAAGATGAAAAGTCCTGGTTTCCTGTTCAGGACTAGCGCGACATCCACTTTGCCGAGGCATCAAGCCTACAGTCAAGACTACCTTTGCTACGGAGTATCGTTCAGTAGATTTAAGATAGATTAAGATGGAGATATAGATTAATAGATAGTAGAGGATACACATGCGATTCATGACTGCCAGTAAGAGACTTTTCCCCCTTGCTCCGGCCCAGATAGACGAATACTCAGAATACAAACGAGACGCGAGGACCAGATATAAAAAGACCAGTAGAACGGAAAGCAAAGCAGGAAGCAGGAAAACAAGACCCTAACGGCCGTTAACATAGGGGAATACGGAAAACGAAAGCAAACGAGGAACGAGACATAAGGACGTAAGACATGGTAGACTCTAGAAACGTAGCGTAGCAGGTTGCATGAGGTATTTGGGGGGATATCCGACGTAACAGAGATAAAAAAGGAGATAGATGACAGGTATATGCGACAGAAGAGTGTATCCATATGCGAGACCAGCAGACAGGTAGACATAGATGGGGATATATGGAGAACAGACAAAGTAGAGATAAAGCCAGGGAACGCCGAGAAAACGAGGAAGAAAAAAAAGGTGGTATAAAGGTAATCCAGGATATAGATAGCAGATGAGATAGAAATGGTAAAAGTCGAAAAGAGGAGAAGATGCAGCCGTAGAATAAGAGAAGAGGTGGATGGGAAGGGATGGAGGAGATCACGGCGTGCTGACGTAGAGCATGAGTTTGGCGTTTCGACGAATAGCAGTTTCCAGGTCTGCGTCTCCGAGAAGCTCGACAAACGAGTTTGACGGCTCATCCTTGTACCGAATGATCATGGAGTCGACCTTGAGTCTGTCTCGCAGCTTATCGGTTAGCTGCCGTAGGTTGATATCGTCGGGTACACGGATAACGATGATGTCGTCTTGGAAGAAGACTTTGATCTTTATCGCACCCGAGCCCTGGGAGGGCATCTGGCTGTTAAACGAGCTTCCTTGGCGAGACATGGACGGGGCCTGTGCTTGTCCTGGCGGCGGCATCTGCTGGTGTGGCTGCTGATGGTACTGCTGGGAGACGGAGCCCTGGCTGCGTTGGTGGGTAGGTCGTTGAGAAGGCTGGTAGTGGGCCTGCTGGTTGGGACCACTCATCTGGCCCTGGGAGGACTGGCGGGAAGCGGTTCGAGACAGGTTGTGGCCCGAGGACTGCTGCGAGCCGCTGGAGAGGCGGTAGTCATCTGACATGACGGCGGGATCGATCTCGAAGTCACCTGGACGCGGCGCAAAGAGCTGGCGCACGAGCTGGCAGCGGGATATGTGCGGGGGCATGGCGAGGAGCTGCTTGACGTATTCGTCTAAGCTCTGACGACGGCCGTTGGATATGGCGTTTGTGACCTGGGTGACGGGTCCAGGCATGAAGGGGAGAGTGCGCTGGCCACCTCTGTTGCCGGCTTCTTCTTCGAATTGGGAAAGTAGGGCGATCTGGAAGTCGTAGAAGTCGTGGTAGTAGCGGGAGAGCTCCCACCATCGGCCGTCTTCCATCTGGACCTCTACGATGTACCAGTACTTGTCATTGTCGAAGCAGTACCGCGGAATTGACGCTTGTACGGGTATAGGTACTTGATAGTGCTGTGGTTGCTGTGGTGGTTGCTGTGAATAGCCATGTTTGCTTGGGGATCGTTGGTGGTTCTACAAGGCATTAGCACTGAAAACAACAGCCTAAAATAAAAAAGATAAAAGCAAAGAGGAAGAAAATACTGACAGAGCGAGAGTTGAGGCTCATGCGCTCGAGTTCGGCTGCCGCTTGCTGGGGCCCATTCTCGAACTTGCCTAGAGAGATGGAGGAGTTCTTGTACTCGGCGGTCATCTTCTTCCACTCCTCGACACGGGGCACACCCGCCCGCCGAACAGCCTCGAGAGGGTCCGGCGCCGACTTCCCTGTCGTCATGTCTCTGATTTCAATGAAGGAGACCGGGATCAGGCCCGGCCCACCCAGACGGCCAATGGGCTTTGCGACGAACCACTCTGGATTTGACTGGGCGATGACGATGATGGCCTCTCCGGCCTTTGCTTCGAGCTCGTCCGGCCGCTCAGCGTTGAAGTCGTACATGACGATGCCGTAGACCATGGCGGTGGCTCCCGTCTTGCCGAGAGACGACATTCTGAACTGCGAGGGCTTGTCTAGCTTGGTGGTGGTGCTGCCGCTGTTGACGATGGTGCTGCTGTCCGAGAAGCCCGAGTCGTGTGCGAGGCGAGGCTGGTGGTGGTGGTGATGCAGGTCTGCGGGCGCGTGGACGGAGTCTCCGCTGTCCCGCTGGTTCTTGCCGATGACCTCGAAGAAGGCGACGGGGACGAGGCCGCGGGCGTTGGGGAAGAGCGGGTTGCAGGCCTCGTACCAGTGCTGGTCGTCCTCTCTGCTGATGACGTGGAAGAAGTCTCCCTTGCTGAAGGCGAGCTCCTCTCTGTTCTCGGGCGACGGCTGGTAGTCGTACAGCGCTTTTATCACCTGTCAAGAGGTCAGTTACGGGTGTTTCTGCTGGTGCTGCTGGAGGTTGTGGGATTGAGGTGAGGTGAGGTGAGGTTGGGAGGGTCGACGGGCGGGCGTGGGAATCCACCGCAAGCGCAGGCAGACCCTTGCAGTGCTTGGTGGCGGGCACAAGCGAGCAAGCGATGACCGCGTCCTCAAAGCAAAAAAAAACAAGAGTAGGACAAGATGAGCAGGAGAAGAAGAAGAAAAGAGGCTATCTGACCTTCTTGGGCGGCAAGATGGCGAGGGCTGACTTGGGCGTGATCGAGACATGCTGGTGGTGCTGCGACTTTTCCTTGTCGCCCTTGAGCGAGCGCCGGATGGCCTTGAGTGAAGCAGTTAGCCGGGGTCACAGCGACTGGGAGACAGCAAGAGAGAGAGACGGCCTACCTTCATGGCGCTGGCTGAGACTGTCGATGGGCTGTGACTTTGTTCTTCTGCGCTTGTCAGAGAGTTACAGGAAGAAGAAGAAGAAGAAGAAGAAGAAAAGGACAAGAAAGTGGCGAAGGAAGAAGAAAAAGACGAAGACGGGAGGGAAAAGGACGCCCCTAGCAAGTTAATAAGGACGGACCGAAGGAGCCAGCGGACTTTTGGCCGGACAGACGACAGCAGGCAGAGATGGAGATGAACAAATAGTTATTTGGAGTAGAGAGATAGAGATAGACAGAGACAGAGATAGAGATGGAGATAGAGATAGAGAGATAGAGAGATAGAGATGGTCGAGTCGAGGCCGCCGTGTTCTGTAACGATGAGTGTTTCGAGCAGAAAAGGGGCCGACGACGGGCAGGGGAGAAGCAAGAAGACGGACAAAGACAGACAGACAGACAGACAGTAGAAGAAGAAGAAGTAGAAGTAGATGGATGGATGGATAGATAGACAGGAGACAGACAGAGTAGACGTGTTTACTTACTTCTAGATGGCTAGAGGCGATCGCGGGGCGGTTGCAGAGAGATCGGGTAGCCGATGTCTTATAGGCAGGGATGGGCTGGCTGGCGGAGATTTGATATTGGATATAGACGAAGGAGAAGAAGGAGAAGAAGAAGACGAAGACGAAGACGAAGAAGTAGACGAAGATAATGAAGTAGACGATGGAGAGGAGCAAAGACGATGCGAAGAGCAGCAGACTAGAAGAGATGATCGGCTGTGCGACTGTTCAGGGCCGTTAGGAGGCTGGGAAAAAGCAAGCATAGCCAGGGGAGGAGGGAAGTAGAAGTAGAAGCTGTGATATATAGATCATAGATCGAGGTAATAGACCGAGAAGATATAGAAGAAGAAGAAGATGTATAGATAGAGTAACTACGCCAGCTATGGAAGATACATACGCAACTAGACGCCCGCTGCCTGCATACCAGAGTCCACCAAGCCCCCCCTGAGGAAGAAGATCCTGAAGAAAGCCTTGAAGAAAGACGAAGAAGAAGCAAATAAGAAGAAGAAGAAGAAAAGAAGACAAGAGAAGAAGGCAAGCTTGTTGCTTTTTTCCTTCTCTTGTCCCTTGCCGGTTCTTCTGCTCGGTTCTGTTCTCCGGTCCGCGATGCAGATGCTCATGCTGATGCTGATAAGAGTGTACCGAGATACCATCCGTGTCCCAACGCAACGCCCCTATTCAAGACCAAAGACGAAGACCAAGATGGAAGTAGATGAAGATAACTCGCTCAGATGAAAAAAAGAAGCCGGATGAGTGCAGTTGAAGTAGGAAGCAAGGAGGTGAAGGAAGAAGAAGAAGTCGAGGGAGGTACGGAGTAGGAGGAGGTGAGGTTGGGTGAGGTTGGGTGAAAGTCTAAGGGGGGTGTACGAGGGATGGTTTATATCTGGCCCTTGATGTCGATGCGCCGGAAGGCCTCCTGCTTGGCCGCCTCAAAGGCCGCACCACACTTGCCGGTCAGCAGCCTGACGCCGTCCTGCGTTTCCTGCAGCAGCTGCTCGGAGACGTGGTCCAGCACAAAGCGGGCGCTCTGCTCGTCGGACTCGAAGCCCAGCTCTTCCGTGATGAACCTGATATTCACATCCGGTTTGTACCTTAAAAACCATCGTTAGCCAGGAGATACAAGAGAGAGTAAAAAAAAAGAGGCGAAGTGATAAGACTTACGCTTTACAAATACATGCTAGGGCAGCGAGACGCTCGCGGTCGACAAACATGTCCATGAGATAGGCGCCCATGTTGGGGGTGTCAAGATACAGCTGGAAGAAACGATGGTAATTGCCCATGGCCAGGGCGGCGCGGACGGCCAGGGCATGGCTGACGGCCGGATCAGCCTTCTCTGCAGCGGTTAGATCTGATAGGGCGCTATTGATCGCCGTCTGGTTGCGTGTGTAGATGAAATAGAGAATACGATACGCTTTGAACTCCATCGGATGGCCGCCGCCCAGGTTCAGCGCGTACAAGCCCTGCAGCTGCGTCTGGCACTGGTTATACTCACCGAGGTCGCCCTTTTCGAGTGCAATGCGCGCGTGGATCTCGTACACCAGCACCGTAAAGTCGTTCTTGATGTGCTGCACCGTCAGGTCCTGGCGCATCGACTTGAACTGGTCGCAGATGTAGCCGTAGTTGTTCTCCTGCTTCCACCGCCGCTTGAGCAGGTCGAGGGTCTTGCGCAGGACTGGAAGCGGGCGTACGTTGTCCGGGTTGGGCGCTGCGGTCAGACGCAGATACCGCTTCTCCAGCTCCGTGCTGCGGCCGACGATGGGGCCCGCGTGCTGGTTGGAGCTCTGGCTTGTGTATGTCTGGGTGTATGAGGGTTGGGGGGACTTGACCTTGGTGGGGGAAGAGGTGCTTTCAAACCGTCGTTTCCTGCTCTCCAGGTGGTGATGGCTGCTGATATTACTGTTAGACTTACTGTTTAACCCGTCACTATTATTGATATTGTTAGTAGGAACATTCTCCAGGCGTCTGCGTTTGTCCTCTGCGGTTGTCCTCCACGGTGGTATTTCCTGGTAACTCGTTCCGGCAGAGGTAGTAGTAGATGTGTCTGTCGAGATGTCAGTCGACTTTCGCTTGGGCGAGGTCTTGGAGGGCTGGAGAGAGAGCTGGTGGTGGGTGGCAGAAGGGAGGGCGGCGCTGCGTTCGGCCTGGATCATCTGCTGCGGCAAGGGCAGGCTGGCCCAGTCGATGGCCTCGAGGCTGTTGGTCTCTGCTGCGCCGGTGATGACCTGCTTGAGCCTGGCCTCCATCTCCGCGCGAGAGATGCCGGGTATCTGCTGCTCGGGCACGAAGCACCGCTGCACGTACTCTCGCACTGCCGGGGGCCACTCCACCCGCTTTCTCGTCTCTGTTGAAGAAGCTGGAGCCGCAGTCATGGTCGTCGTAGTGGTAGAAGTCGTAGAAGCAGTAGAAGAGGCGCTGCGAGCCAGCGTCCGGCGGGCGTGGACGGGGGTGTAAGCTGGAGCCGTCGGTCCTGGAGAGTCGGTCAGCGCTGCACAACCACCGTCAGAGGGTCTCTTACCACTAGCGGACGCTCGCCATGCCGTGTTCATCTCTAGAAATACGATGAGAAGAAGACGAGAAGATGAGAAGGTGAAGAGAAGATGGGAAGATGAAGAGAAGAAGACGATGAAGAAGAAGAAGACGAGATGATGATGAAGATGATGACGGTGATGATGAAGAGATGTCGTCGTGATAAAGTCAAGTCGAAGTCGAAGTTTGTGGTTTCGCTTCCTTTTCGGCTTAGCGTCGCCTCGCCTTATGACTTCACGACTTCGACATCAACAACTTCTTTTTAAGGCCGCACGCAAGCAAGCAAGCATCTTGAATATCCGTCACTCTTGATATCCTGATACTCCGACTCTAAAAGACGGGTGATCTCGTCTCTGGCTGTGGCTCTCCCGGCGTAGAAGATGGTGCTCGATGTTCTTCCAGCCAGTCGACCTTACCACCGCCCTCCGCCCGTGCCTGCTGCCGGATGAGACGCTGCTCTTCGTCCAGGACGCCATCGGGCTCTACGATGGGTATTTCTCTTATCTCTCTATTTTGTGTTATGTGCTATGGAAGTAAATGGACTGACGATGATAGTAAATACAAGATACCACGGTGCCAGAACGGCCATGCGTACCTGACCTCGCACCGGATATGCTATATCGACCTGGAGGAGCCCCGCGGGTGCTCAGTGGGCATCGACCTCAAGGACGTCGACCGCGTCGAGTTTCAGGTAGGCTACCCTCGCCCAGCAGACGGGTTGATGGATAGGTCACTAACTTGCTTTCCAACTGCTAGGCCCGGTTTCTGCGCTCGTCGCCCAAGCTCAGTCTGCTGCCGCGGAGACGGGCGGCTCCAGGATCTACTTCTACAACGCCCACGGGACCAGGTTCGGCTACAGCGTCTACCAATATCAAGAGTGAAGCGAGGACGGCGACGTGGGTGTGTCCGATCTGCTCGTTTGCGAACCCGGTGCCCTCCAACTTCGACCCTGCGCTGGCTGCGTCGACGGCCATCCCGCCGTGTCTGGCATGTGGCATCAGGCCGCCCTTGACCACTCTTCTCAAAGCAGCCATCACCGCCTCGACCTCTGCCACATCTACTTCTACTTCTACTGTGTCGTCTTCGTCATCTAAGATATGTCCGAGGTGTACGTTTGCCAATCATCCGTGGCTGCAAGGGTGTGAGATTTGCGGTGCCGGGCTGGGTGGGAACGGGAACGGGAGCGGTGGCCTGACCGGAGCCGGAGCAGGAGCAGGATCAGGAGTAGGAGTAGGAGCAGCAACGGCGGCGGCGTCTCGGACTGACTCGCCAGCGCCGTTTGGGCCAGCGTCGCGACTGGAAGGCAGGGAGATTGGGGAGTGTGTCAAGCTCTCCTTTCGAGCAGGCGGCGAGAAGGTGTTCCACGAGCGACTGAGGGGGGCTCTCGTCCAGCGCAAGTGGATTCTCCAGGACGCTCCTCCGGTACCCAAAGCTGGTTCTGGTTCTGGTGGTCCTGGTTCCGGTTCCGGTGTTGGTACTGGTACTGGTACTGGTATGACTGGTATGACTGGTACGACTGGTGCGACTGGCATGATTCCAGGCGCAACTGGTACTACTACTGGTACAGGTGATAGTAATGTTGGCGGCGGTGGTGGTACTGCTAGTGGTACGGCCGCTGGCATCGCAGGCCTAGAGCGCCGTGGACTGGAGGCGCGACGCAACAACGAGGCAGTGATCGGAGGAGCGTTTGAGGATCTGGAGGCGCTGATGGCGTCTGCCCGCGAGGTTGTGGCGCTGGCCGAGACGTTTGCCCGAGAGCGACGAAACGACGCCGGTGTCACAGACGAGGTCTCGCAGTCTGCCGCCGCCCTCGGGATGATCACCACCAAGCAGCTGCTGGGCCAGTCCGCTGCCTCTGCGTCTTCGTCGTCGTCGTCGACCACGGCGAGCCTGTACGTGACCGAGCTGTCTCGCAACCTGGCAGAGTACCTGACGGACGAGCGAGAGGGCCTGCTGCGACGAGCGGGCGGGATCATGAGCCTGGTGGACGTGTGGGCGGCCTTTAACCGAGCCCGCAACGGCGTCGAGCTTGTGAGTCCGCGAGACTTTCACTCAGCGGCCGAGCAGTGGGAGGTGCTCCGCCTGCCAGTCCGCCTGCGCCGGTTCAGGAAGAGTGGTCTGCTGGTCGTGCAGCGGGCCGACTGGACGGACGAGAAGACCTTGCAGCAGCTCTCCGCCTGGCTCAACCAGTTACACAGTACTTCTACTACTTCGACTCCTGCTACTTCTACGACGACGACGACGAGCTCCTGGTTTGGCCGGGGCGTGACTGCGCAGGAAGCCGGCGAGCGCTTTGGCTGGAGTCTCGGGGTGGCCAGCGAGGAGCTCGAGATGGCTGAGGAAAGGGGCCTGCTGTGTCGCGAGCAGGGCGTCGAGGGCCTCCGCTTCTGGCTGAACCACTTCTAGCCCTCATCGACCAGCCTTCTTTCATCCTGTCTCTTGTGTCTCTTGTCCTTGTCCTCCTGTCCATCGCCGTCTGTGTGTCGTGCGTGGCTGATCTATGTACACTTTAAGAGTCTTAAGAGCCAGGGAGGAACCAACAGCCAACAAACACCAGCGGCATCCACCGTCCATCCCATCCATCGTCAAGTAGCCTGCCTGCCTGCCTGGCCTCGTACATGAGTCTATTTAGCCCATCCATGCCGCATCCTTCGCCCTGTCTGCTATATTACTTCTCTGCTATATCCCCGGCATCTCACTTTACCCCTATTCTCCGACTGTAGACACCACCATCACCTACTATCATCACTCACCATCACCACCACTTACTATCTTCTAACTATCTTCTACTATCACTCTCTCTCTATCAACTAGACGCCCACGACGCCCACCAGCGCCCACGTAGCCAGCCCGCCCGCCCTGTGCGACTCCGTAAAATTGCCCTCCCCCATCGCGCTGCGTCCGACAGGCCAACCGAAATGCCAGCCACGCCTTGCGGGGGCCGCTAAAGCAAGTCTTTTCACCTTAGTGCCAGGGGGGTCAGACGGGCCCGTTCAGGGGTTGCTCTGCGTCTCTTCGTATTCTCTTCGTCCAACAAAAGACAGACAGCAAAAAGACACAGCGAAAAAGACAGGCAGAGAGAGAGAGAGAGTCCTGGNNACTGGGATGAGCCTTGTCTTGCCGTCTTTTCTTCTTCTTCTTCTTCT